TTACAGCCTGGGGAAGCACACTGCTGTGAACACATGGACCTCTGAACCCAGATGAACAGTGTCACGGAGCAACAAGGGTTCACAGTAGCTACGCACACTGTGTCCAATTTAATGACCATGAATACACCTTCCATGAACATTCATGATACCAGCCTTCCGATTCTGTAGCCTTGCTGTCAATCATCCCAATTTCATTGTATCTTAAGAAGCAGAACGTGGGGACAAATTACATGGGAAAGCCTGCAGGTTTTCAATAACTGTTGCCACATAGCTGTCCAACATAGCAATCTGAGAACCCTCTTTACTTCAGCCTCATCTACACTAGGCACCTCAACAACCTGTCTACAATAGAAAGCTGGGGACTCTTTATGACTCGCTGAGCTGACCTTCTCCTCACTAATATTTTCTTTGGGACAGAAATTTCAGGGCATCAGAGGTGTAACCAGCAGAGCATCAGAGAACACTGCCAGTGAAGTCATCCTAGGATCTGTCAGTCATATGCTAAATCCATCATGGCCATTTGCTCCTACGACCACAAAGCTGGCCTTGTCATGACTCGTGGTTTCCAAAGAAAGTGGATTTCTTTCTTTCTTCCTTTTTTTTTTTTGGTTTTTCAAGACAGGGTTTCTCTGTGTAGCTTTGGAGCCTATCCTGGCACTCGCTCTGGAGACCAGGCTGGCCTCAAACTCACAGAAATCCGCCTGCCTCTGCCTCCCAAGCGCTGGGATTAAAGGCGTGCGCCACCAACACCCAGCTAAGAAAGTAGATTTCGGTATTCATGACATGAGAGAAAAGCCAAGCAGCACACTACAGAGTTAAGCCCCAACTAAGAGAACATTCTTGGCTGTAGCAGCATTCTCCATTACATTACACATTACACCGATGGGACAAGTGGGCACAGGAGGAAACAGTGAATTATCCAAGATCACATTAAGTATGCATTAGCCACATGCTGGGTGCTGATGCTGACACAACTCCACCTTCTAGATTTTGATTAATTCTCTAAATTTCACAGTACTAATTTGAAATGAAATATCCAGTATGATTCAGTTGAACTTTTTTTTTTTTTTTTGGTAAAACTAAGCAACTCCCCTTGTATTAAGGCTGGGCAAGACAACACAGTATAAGAAACAGGTTCCTAAAAGCCAGCCAAAATGTTAGGAACAGCCCCTGCTCCCCCTGCTAGGAGTCAGTCCCACAAGTAGACCAAACTACACAGCTGTCACATATATGTAGAGGGCCTAGGTCAGTCCCTTGTAGACACCCTGGCTGTCAGTTTAGACTCTGTGAGCTCCTATGAGCCCAGGTTAGTTGTTTCTGTGTTTTCTTGTGATGTCCTTGACCCCTCTGGCTTCTGCAATTCTTCATCCCTCTAAATTTCACCGTACTAATTTTCTGTGAAATATCCAGTATAGTTTGGTTGGACATATTTAATCCTTTTACATTTACATGTCTTCCTAAACTGTGAGCAATAACATCAGTTTCAAATTATATGAGCAAAAGTCATGGGTATACATTGATAATATTTTGATGGGTAGAAAGCAATGGTCAACAGGACTTCAGCTTCACTGAATAACAGTTTCTATTCGGACCTAACACAGAAGTGTCTCAATGTGTTAAAAGGGGAAGGGAATGAACTTATAGTAAACACTACTTTTTGATAATTAAAAATAAAACCTGTTATTTTTATCAAGTGCATCTAAAATTTACACTAGGGTGGGAAGTTTAGGTAAGATTTTAGTAAACTGATGTCTTCAGCTATACCAGAAAATCTTGATGAAGATAATGGCGTCATCCTCTATAGCAACAAAACTAAAGCTGGTAAGAACTAGTTCTTCCTAGGAAACACACACACACATACACACACACATATATAAATTAGACCCATGGTTGGCATCGAAGGAGAGGCGTTCATATATGGAGTTGGAGAAAGGAGGACAGACGTACCGTCTTCTTATGAAGTTCTAAGCAAATTCCCGAGTCAGCCTGGGTAACACTGTATGTGACAGCTCACATAAAATGCCAAACAAATTCCATGTGGCGTAACATTTCCATTCCAAGAAATGGTTTTCTATATGTGACCTTAAAGGCAGAAATAATCTTAAAAGGTCTAATGGATTTTCTTATAAAGTAAGAATCAATTTAAAGAAGTATATATTAAGAATACCAGTCATTTTAGGTAATTTATGCAATAATAACAATTATTTATCTTTTATTTTGCTTATTTATTTATTTATTTATTTATTTATTTATTTATTATTTATTATTGGCTGTCCTGGAACTTGTTCTGTAGACCACGTTGGCTCTAAATTCAGAGATCTGCCTGCCTCTGCCTCCTGAGTAGTGGGATTAAAGGTGTGCGCCACCATTGCCCAGCTATTATTTATCTTTTAATTGACACAAAAAATTTAAAAATGGTAATTAAATTTTTTTTTCAGGCCAGAGCATGGTGATTCATGCCCTTAACCTCAGCACTTGGTAGGCAGAGGCAGGCAGATCTCTGTGAGTTTAATTATCAGCCTGCCGTACATAGCAAGCACTAGGGCAGCTGGGCCTACCTAGTGATACCCTGTGTCAAGAAAAAATTTATTTCTTAAGAATTTTTCTTTTGGGTGAAGGTTCTATGTAGGCAACAGCTCAACCTCTCCATGTTCAATAAGTTGCGTGGGTGTTGTCCTCAGCAGTGGGCCCTTTATGTCGGTTTGTGGAGAACAATCTATTGTATCAGCAACAGCCTTGCTGTTTAGGGATCTCCATAGGACCTCTTTGGCCAACAACGCAACTGGGTGTAACCCAGTCCTGGTACTGGAAGCTTTGTTTGGTGTTCTGCAGACTACCAAAAGAGAAACATAAAAACCAACCCATCCAGAAAACCTTTGATTTACAATGCTGTCCTGCTTGTGAAATATGCTAGAGTAATGGTGGCCCAAAGCTTGTAGGAGTAACCGACCAATATCTGATTTGACTTAAGGCCTACTCCATGAGATGGAACCCATACCCAATACTGCTTGGGTGACTAAGAACCAGACACCTAGGGTAAAACCAAACACTACTGGTTTAAAAAAAAAAAAAGTAAAAGTAACAATAAAATAACTCCTAAAGATATTTTTGTTATGCTCACAGATCAGCAACTTGCTCAGCCAGCATCAGAGAAGCTTCCTCCTGAAGCAGATGGGAACCGATATAGAGACCCACAGCCAGACATATCACACACACACACAAACACACACACACACACACACACACACACACACACACACACACACACACACACCAAAAGGAA